TGGTGAAGGCAGAGCTCTGTCCCGGGGAGAGGTCGTGGTTGAGTTTAAACGCGCCCATGTGCGCGGAGTCCACGAAGCTGTTTTGCGCCAAACTCAAGTCTCTGTCCTGCATCTCGCTGGCCGAGTGATGCCTGGCAAAGGAGCCCAGTCCGGGGAACTGGTGACCAGCATCCAGTAGCATTATTTCAGGGTGGTTTTTTTGTTTTTGTTTTGTTCTTGTTGTTGTTGGTTTAAAACAAATGAGGGCTGTACGGCAAATAAGTTGGAGAACACAATCAAATGCTGGTGAGCAGATTCAACTTCCAAACCTTGGACACATCATATCAGGCGTGATTTAAAACCGCGCTCCGCTCGCGAGGAGGAGGAGGAGGAGGGGAAAAAAGAATTCAGATCGGATTATCGGATCTAGTTCTTTAAACTTGTGCTTTAAAAAAAAAATCCAAACGAAGTGAAGAGTTTCCCCGTGTCCTCTTCTCTAGACTGCGGCAGTTGGCTGCCTTCTACAACCCCCCCTCCCCTCTCTCTCTCTCCCCCCTCCCAGAAAAAAATGCACTCGAAGAATGAAATAATTATCTTACTGGGTGTCCACGGCGCGCATAGAGTGAGAGCGGCTGGAGCGTCTCGGGGAAAAAACGCCGTTCCGACTTTCAGGGGGCAAGGAATTTATTTGTCCGGGCTCGCGTGCGTTTCTCGCGGAGGGTCCCTGTTTCTCCGTGGACTGGCTCTACCTCCTCTTCCGCCCCCTTTAAACTGGAGCCCGTTCGTCCGCTCCGCGCGCTCTCATTGGCCGCCGTGCCTCATCAATCCCAGGCGCTCCTCCAATAGGAGCCGGCGCTCGCGCGATTTAATGGTGCAACGCCATTTTTTCCACTAATAATTACCGCCTACTTTTGGAAGAGGGTTTTTTTTTTTGGAGGAGGAGGATGAGATGGGGGCCTGGGGGTATGTGGTGGTGGGGGGGGGGGTATATACAATCACGGCAAGAGAGAGAGGAGAGGACATGTTTTGCTTGTTTATATTCCAGTATATGTGCCAAGTTGTAGTAATAAAATATATATATATATTTTAAACCTAAATACAAGGTAGTCACTTTTGTTTTACATTTCGAAATACTAATTTAAAACAAGAATCCAGCTCTTCTGTCAGCCCATAGAGTTGTGTTATTAAGCGTGCTCATCAATTAACCATGATAATATCTGCACTACCGGGGACCAGATCTTAAGTACACGTCAGTATGGCTGCAGAATAAGTGTCAACTGATTTTCCGGCATCTTACCCTGAAGCATCGTGAGGATTTATATTGTAAAGCATTTTTATTAAGTCTCAAAAAATAGTGACGGGCGACTTACAAATGAAAAGACAAGCGGTTCATTAAAAAACAACACACCACCGACGGGTTTCCTCTCTTTTTTTTTTTACAAAAAAAGCACGAAAACATGTTGTTAATGAATCAATAATAATAGTAATGGTGTAATAAATCGTTCCATAAAAACATACCACCTGTATCTTTTTAAAGATCTGTCCGTAAGTTATGATGCTGTTCAAAGAATCATTGAAATATGAACAAACCTCTCGCGATCTCATTGCAGCGGAAAAAGCACACGTGGTTCCACGTGAAGTCAATATAGAACCGCAACTTGGCCTTCGGCGTAACCAGCCGCCACCGCTTATTTTTTACGACGGTTCCGCACGGCGCGGGTTCTGGTTCTCGCGTTCAGCCGCAGCAATAACGTGGCGTGTTCTGGGTGGCGAGCTTCGTTTGGATCCGTGTTAACCATGAAGTGACCTGTGAGGTCGGGCCTTGATGGATGTGAAGTGTTATTGAATGAGATGTTATGGTGCTGTGTATGAGCACGGGGTCTGTGCGTGCGGGTTGGGGTTCTAGCCCTCCAGGAAACAATAGGCTGCACACACACGCACGCGCACACACACACACACACACGCAGACACGCACACATTATTTATATATATATATAGCTCAAAGCATGTATATGTATATATAAATGCGTTGAGATAATAATTAATATTATATATATGATATGCATCAATTGCTTTGCGATTTTGATGACACTTCGTTCGTATAGAAAAAAGCATGTATTGCCACAGGAAATTAGCTTGTTGGCGACTTTCCATTACGCACCACATCCCTCTTTAAATTGAGACAGATCGATAGCACTTTTGGCCACGATGCGCCACAACTGCCCATTCACGCGCAAGTTTAAAGGAAGTTTACTCACAGTTTCACCAACTCAGAAGTCCCACAAGTTGTCCCGTTCCACACACAAACCAGAGAGTGAGCCCTCCGGTGCTCTGCATGTATATAATGGATGAGGAGAGGGAAACGTTTATGAACTTTTTTTTTTTTTTTTGCGGTGTGTCTCTGAGGTCGGGGTGGGACAGGCTGAGTGTTGTGTGCGCCATTCTTCCCAGTCTATTGCACCGCGCACCACAGGAAACACAAGAGCTGATCCAAGTTCAAAGTCACGTCTCCCGACACTATAAGAAGCTCTTTATTTCTCTGGATTAAACCTTCCCCGGATATAGAGAAAAGAAAAATCTAAGAAAGAAGGAGAAAAGAAAAAAAAATCTATATAGAGAGTCACATGGCGGATTCTGCTTGTAGAAGAAAGGGGGTCCTGCCTATTGAACCCCCCCCCCCCCCCCCCCAACCCCCCCCGCCAGGACCCCCACCCGTATTTCAACAGGTTCTAGTATCAGCAACACACACTGAGATCTTTAAACCTACATTACAGGAAATAGGTTTGGATCTGAACTTGCGGCTTTGAGTAATCAATAAAGTCAGCAGTCCCGACCGCATAAAGGCGCACTGCCTGTGTGCGCGCGCGCGTGCGTGCGCGCGTTGTAGTTAAGGGGCCAAAGGCGTATTCCTCCTCTCTGCTATCATGGCAATATCAATATGTTGACACACTGGAAGGTTACTTGCGTGGCTCCTGTGACCTTGTGTTTCATGGATGTTTGACCCATGACCCGTTAAGACCACATATGTTGCACTCTTGACTCCTTTTGGTAAAATAACCCAGTTTATGACAAAGCGTCTTTGTTTTAGAGGGAGAAAAAGCTATAAAGATGCTATAAGTCAATAAAAATGCAAAAGATCAATTCACATGGCAGAATATGATCCGTGTAAACCAGGAACATTATTCGCATTTTCAGAGACCATGTTAATTTGCAGCAAAAGTAGTATTCTTGTTGTTAACTCGAGTGCGAGTTATGGGTCGAATTTAATATATTGTTTTATTTAATGCGTATGAAATAAGGCCCCCTTTAAACGAATCATAAACCGTACACCCACCGCTCCTCGTGTGTTTTATGAGTCTCCATATTCTCTCATTGGAGCTGACGATTTTTTTATTTACTCACACGTGGTCTTGGTGTTTTTTTTGGTGACTTTTAAATTATAAAAATGAAAGAGTCATTGTGCAAATAGAAACGAGCAGCTGTTCCTAAAGCAATAAACTGGATCAGCCACAGAACTCCACTTTATAGAGACCAAACATTATATTTATATAATTTATATATTTATAATGTATTTATATCATTTATTTAAATATTTTATTTATATAATTTACATATAATATAAATATGTATATGATGTACCGATGTATCGGTTGTACAAAAGTTTTAACACGTAGCTTCTTCTGAGAGCATTTGTCTCGGTTGCTGAATCACGTTCATAAATCATCTTTTCCCGCTGAGGAGCACATGCAACAGGCCCCATAACGTGCACGGACTCTCTGCGGAAATCAATTACATTGTCCTGAGCGGGGGAGTGTTCATTATATACTTCTTTTTTTTTGCAGCTCAGCTGCCGTTGGAGTTACACAAACTCTGATGACGTGCGGGTTCGGAGTTTGGACTCCAGCTCCCACGGATCCATCGGGAAGGTGTCTGGATGAAGACGTGTCATGACAGATCCACGTCCCGCTGTCAACGGGGCTCTTCAACGGCGTGATCCGTCCAGTGGGCAACTTAAATACAAGTTGCTACTGCCAACCTCAATTATAATCAACATGGCAAATGGTCGGTAAATAATGCCGGGAATTATAAATTATAATAATCGTTTCACCTTTTAGGGCCGTTTATTTGAACTAACATACTTAGTTTAGTGTACACGCGCTCAGGTCGGCCTTCACTGAGTTGTTGTTTTTTATATTTGAGATTCCTATTATTGGGATTTCTATGAAAAACGGCCTGAACTAATAAGAAATTATGAAATGTTTATTGGGTTTTCCCAACTTCAGCATTTGTGCAGACAGCATAATTCAATTTGAAGCTTCTTTGGATTCCTGTGCTGTAATAATGTTGTTTTGGTGCTTTTTGGGGAACGGAATGATATTCATTGATAACTATTATCGAATGATTAATAGTTCATGATAAAAACAGCAAACAATATCAAATATTTCTCTGAGGATTGAAATACATATATTGCATACATCCAATCACCATTCCAGGGTATTAGGTTACAAATAGAATTTATAAACGGTTTGTACAATTTATACATGCATTAACATTTTTTAAATAGTTTTATACCTTACTGACAAACCGTCTGAGGTCTATTTATATTTACACAGACATTTTTTCATATCCACATGCAAATTAAAAAAATAAAGGTGCCGTCGTTGTGCTCTCTCCACATCCACACTGATCACATACATCTCTCCACCACCAGCGGGCTTCTTTACCCCCCCCCCCCCCCCCATCTCTCTCTATGTACAGACAACGAACCGGTGATAAACTGAGTTGCATTTACCGCATAAAAAGAGCGCCGCGCAAGTGAGAAACATAAAACACCAACAACAATCCGCCGGTAACTTTGTGAATACAACTTTTCGGAGTCCACCGCGATAAAGAGAGCGAGGGGGCGGAACCCTGCTGAGCCCCTGCGCTGAACGACAGCCAATCGCTTCGTTCTCCTAACTGCCAGTCACCGAAATCCGTCCAATACCCGCGGTGCCATTTCTAAACCGTATTCCCCACTGTGTCCTCCAACTGTTGTGTGTTCTGCCAATCGCTTGAGGACAGAGTGGGAAAGGGGAGCAAGCAGAGTTAGAAGCCGGACAAAAGAACTTATAGAGCCCCTTATATACATATTTTCCTAATGTTTTAGAGGGCGCGGCGGGGTGAGAAACAATCGCGGCGAGCGCGGATGGACTCGTCGGTGTAGTTATGGAGCCCCCTTTGAGCAAGAGGAATCCGGCGTTAAGACTAGCGGATTTGGCAGCGACTCAGCCCCTTCCTCATCATAATATGACAGGCTTCCCGGGGCTAGGGGGGCATCACCCTCTCTCCCACCATGCCCACCTCCACCCTGGGGAGCTGGGCAACGACCCCGGAGTGGCACTCACTCCATTCGGACCAGAGCACATGGCACAGACAAACGCTCTCAAACTTAGCCCGTCTCAGCACATTCAGAGCCACCACGAAGCGCAGACCGCGGCGTCCTTCGCTCCTGCCCAGCCCACAGTCGGTTTCCCCGTGGCCCACCCCCACTCGGGCTACTCGAGCAGCAGGGACTTCATCCTCAGGAGAGAACTCTCAGCCTCTGCTATGCATGCACTTGGCGACCAGCATAGTTCCGCCTCCTCCCCTCATCACCATGGCATGTTCATCTCCCCAACAGGTGCTTACGGGCACGCGGAGAGCGGGGCCCACTCGCTTTTCACTGGACTCCACGAGCAGGCGTCCCCGGGTGCCCACCACCACCACCACCACCACCATGCCTTCAACGGGCAGATGCGCCTGGGTATACCGGGGGACATCTACGGCAGGCCGGAGCACTTCGGGCACAGGCCGGAGCACTATGGACCGTCTTCACTCCACAACTACAACTCCATGAACCTCAATGTAAACATCGCGTCTGCTCCTCACGGAGCGGCGGGGGCGTTTTTGAGATACATGCGGCAGCCCATCAAGCAAGAGCTGATCTGCAAGTGGATCGACCAGGACCAGAGCCAGAAGAAGCCCTGCTCGAAGACGTACAGCACGATGCACGAGCTGGTGAACCACGTCACGGTGGAGCACGTCGGCGGACCGGAGCAGAGCTCCCACGTCTGCTTCTGGGAGGAGTGTCCGCGGGAAGGGAAGGCTTTCAAGGCGAAGTACAAACTGATAAACCACATCCGAGTTCACACGGGGGAGAAGCCCTTCCCGTGTCCGTTCCCGGGCTGCGGGAAAGTGTTCGCGAGGTCGGAGAATTTAAAGATTCACAAGAGGACGCACACAGGTCAGTATGTGGAGGGGGGGCGAAGCCTCGTGTTGCTGTGCATGTCTTAAACCAATGGGGTCCGCGCGTAAATGCACACTCGGGACGAACTGTTCTATTCCACGACATGTGAATAAATACATATAAACGACTTTACTAGCCGCCGGAACGCCGGGTGTGCGTGCGCGCGGAGGGCTTGGGGGCATGTTATGTGCGATGCGTACTTACGCATACGTGCGGGGCAGCAATGGAGAACCGCGTAACTGTAATTATCCTCGTGCACGGGACGTCTGCCCGAGTTTATATAGTGCGTGTTCGCGTGTGAGTGAGCGCGCGCGCCGCGCGGTTATTTGATATCCACATAACTAAGATGATCCAGAAACACCCCTTGGGAGTATTTGTTGCCCAGAACTTGCACAGCGCAGAAAAGGTCACGACAGGCAGTAAACACCGCGGCCGCTTTTCCCGCAACATTTCGAAGCGCACAGAGCGTTTGCCTCTTGTGGTGGTTGTTGTTGTTGTCTTCGTTACACAGATGGAGATCGGTAGTGTTTTTGTTGACGTGGCTCTATTTTCTGCCCGTAAACCACCAGCTTCGACAGGCCTCCGCACCTCACACAACGGCGCTGTGCGCGGAGTTACGGTATACATGAACGGCTTAGCTTGTATTCAGAGCCCCCCCCCCCCAACATGCGTGTAATCAGAAAGCCTAAAGGCATGTTAGACGTGTTTGTGGAAACGGCTTTGGAACGAGTGGGTATGCAGCCATCGTGGCTGCTATACGCGTGTGTGTGTGCGCGCGTGTTCGTGTGTCCCCCCCCCCCCCCCACCCTCCCAGTGGAGGAGGGCGAGGTGCTGCAGGGCTGCACGTCTGGATTTATTTAATGCGGTGCAAACGAACATGCATCTGCAGCTTCAGCCTTCAGATGCATGAGAATGCACTTCAGTCCTTGCGAGTAACGTGAATTCTGTCTTTTTGCCTACCCCCCCCCCCCCCCCTCCTCTCGCCCCCCTCCAGGAGAGAAACCCTTCAAGTGCGAGTTTGAAGGCTGCGACAGAAAATTTGCCAACAGCAGCGACCGGAAGAAGCACTCCCACGTCCACACCAGCGACAAGCCGTACTACTGCAAGGTGCGCGGCTGCGACAAGTCCTACACGCACCCGAGTTCGCTGCGGAAGCACATGAAGGTGCACTGCAAGTCTTCCCCGCCCCCCGCCACCAACAATAACACCACCACCACCACCACCAACGTCCCCTACATATCCTCCACGAACCCGCTCGGGGACCCGCTGTCCCCCACCTCGGAGCCGCACAGGAACCGAACCTCGGCGAACCTCTCCCCCCAGGTCACCAACCTCAACGAGTGGTACGTGTGCCAGGGGAGCGGAGGGCCCCACCACCTCCACACCCCCTCCAGCGACGTGCCGACGTCGGATTCGGACGAAGACTCTTTCAGACATTCAGACCCAAGGACAATGCTCTGACGACCCGCGACCCGTTTTGGACCACGTGACTGTCAGACGTAGGGAGCCGTTGCAGTGTGTAGATCCCCATCGGTCACGTTATCCAACCATGCAGCAGATCTGTCTAACTACATGTGGCAGATTTTCTTTTTTTTTTTCAAAGGTGACCCCTGACCTTTCCTGAAATGTAGATCAAAACTGCTGAAATGTAACAACATACACTAGAACTGGAATGCAGTGTTATTATGAAAGGGCCGACGCAGTAGGGCTTTTCGGCAGTTATCATTATTTTAGTGGAGCAATATGCAGGGTTTAATCAGTCTCAACTGGTGTGCTGAGAGGACAGGTTTCAAGGGACCTCCCACCAACCCCCCAAACAGTTTAATAACTGGCCTGCTATCAATCACTGTCGTATTTCAAACATTTAAGGAAAACAAATGGCACCGCTCACAGCCCCGGACAACGGCAAATGTCCATGGACTTATTTTAGAGGATGAGATGATTTTTTTTTTACTCCGTTTGATTTCTGTAAGATGTGGTACAAACTTTGATAAAACAATAAGGACAAAAAAAAAGGAGGCAAACATCTGAGTGTCTTAGGGGTTTCTATTTTACCTTTTCAGATTTATACATGTATTTGGATGGAATTTTGTAATATTTAAGAACTATTTAAGACTATATTTTATGCAAAAGTGTCATGCTTGTTAAAGCGTACGAGTCCCCATGAGACCCTAAATGTCTACACTGACAGGCTTTGGCCTTATAGGATTTGTTTATGTAATTGTACTGATGCTTGTGAATGTTGTGTAGTTTTTAATTACAAGAAAAAAATGTTGTTTTGTACATTGTAATTTATTTGCTGGTATCATTGTTGTACTGGAACTAAAGGAACACCAAAGAATAATAATATCAGTTTTGGTGATGCATCGTAGCCTACCCTGCTGATGTTTTTTTTAACCGTAAATTCCATCCTAATTTTCTGGGTTTAAAAAAAATGTTTTTGTTGTGTTCTGTAAGAGAAGAAACATTTACTTGAATAGGCTGTGTAATGTGAAAAGTCCCTCTCTCGCATGCCTTCTGTAGTGATTGGTCTTTCGCTTTGGGGTTCATGGTGCCGTTGTATATGATGGATGAAACAAAGAAAAAGAAAAGATGAACCAGCTATAATTGTGCAGACCCTTGATGTTAAAAAATTTAATTTGCAACTTAAATTTCATGCTAAAAAAATAATAAAAAAAGCAGGACATATACAGTCAATAATTAACAAGTGTCAAATTATTATGCTTAATGAGAGATGAGATGAGATTTTGTGAAGATGAGAGAATCAAAGAGTGCAAAAGGAAGGATTAATTATAATTCCACCTGGTTTCATGTGTTCCTTAAAAAAAATATGATCAAACAATGACCTTCTTGAATGGAAACAAGAGTTAACAAAAGTGTAATATCATTCTTAAATTACATGAAATAGTGTTCACCTCCTGTCCAGACATTTCTGTCAAATATTCTCTCAGCAAAAAAAGAAGCCAGGCCCAACAGGCCCACGGAAGAACAAACGATGGCATGAATCATTCATGGACAAACAGATTCAAAAAGCTATGTTGACAACACGCAGGGCCTCATATAGTAGTGTGTAAAACAACACCACCCCCAGCCTCTTATCTCCCCCATTAAAACCCACAATCTCACTTTCAAAGTCCATAGAAATAAAATAAAAAAAACTTGCCAAGACCGGCGCGAGACCCGCGCACCTTCAAAGGCTGCAGCTTCCGGGCCGGGGAGAGGAAGGGGCTCCATGGCGGCCGGTTATGGGACGCTCACCTTTGAATGTGTCTACTTGCTTAAAAAAAACACACGAGCTGCATACTTGCCTGCTTGGAATTTGACAAATGCAAACGAGAGAAAAGGGGTTTAATCTGACACACACACACACACACACACACACACACACACACACACACACACACACACAGACTCACCAACACACAGATTATTGGGAGCGATTATGACACCTGACTCAGGTCACCACGCAGGGTCTGTGGTAATAAAATAAAACAACAACAACAACATCTCGCGCGTTCTGCAGGAGGAAAACAAGGTGACACGCGCAGTGTCTTTATACGTTTCATAGCTGCTCTCTGTAAGCGTTTGTAAAAAGAACACAGCGGCTGCCGCTTCGTTGAAGAAGCTCTCGAGGGCCTCTTTGCGCGCGGACGCTCTCATGGGGCTCGGGCCCCAAGAAAAGCTCCTGTTCGGACACGAAGTGCTCCATGAATGTTGCAAAATAAACACGGCGAAAAACGATTCCCCGCGCATAGAAAAAAAACGAACAGGAGAGACTTATTTTAGATAAAAGAACAGGAGTGAAGCGGTCACCCTTCAGCGAGAAACGCTTTGAAGTAGAACTTATTATGTGAGGAATACTTGTTGGTTGTCCCAACGACGCGGCTGAATAGGGGAAGGCGCTCCCTTTGTGAGCGATTTGTTCTCCTTTAGTGGGATGCCCGTGGAAATCACTTACATGGGCCACCTTAACATACTGCCCGCAAATCAGTAACCGGCGGAGTCAGACATGCAGACGCCAGTGCGGGGGTGAGGGCGGCGGGGTGAGGGCGGCGGGGAGAGGGGGAGAGGGGGAGAAGGAGGGGGGGGGGGGGGGGGACAAAGCGAGAAGTCGCGGTGAAAACGCCGCCGCCGCGTCTTCCAAAGTCTCAGGGTTGAAAGATGATTTCCCAGACGAGCGTGGAACCAAAACAAGCGGCTCCTTGTCACAGTTTACAAGCATCACCCGCCCAATGGACGCTGCTACGGTCACTAAAGTTAAGAGGCTCTGCTCATGTCCCAGAAGAAAATACAGCACCTGAACCTCCGCGGTGAGCGAGCTCGGCTCAACTAACGTTTATATTTCTATTAACAGGAAAGCAAGATGCACCCCCCCCCCCCCCCCCCCCCCAATAAAGCTAACACAGCCAAACAGCAGCACCTTGTGACAGCTTCTGCTGTTTCTTTTAGTTCGGAGAAAGAGAGAAAGTGGATTTTCCATATATGGTGTGTTTATGTTGTAGGAGTAAGGGGGCGGGGGGGGCTTCTCTTATTTCATGTAGCCTAATGCGGGTAATTAAAATAATCTGTGATACTGCACTGCCGGTTTTCACCCTCTCCTTCCAAACACACCGTAAATCGCCCCAAACGGAGGCTTCACTGCGTCAGGTGACGCCAGGACATTTACGCACAGATGTGCAGGCCACACACCTGTTGGCCACGTCTGACCCCCACCGGCCACCTCCTCTCTCTCTTTCTTATAAACTCGCCTTTTTAACGGCCATGTATTTTTTTTTTTTTTTACACGCGCATTCCGCCGGCAGGTTTGTCCGGTCTCTCTCTACTCGCCCCCGGTCACCTTTCGGAGCTGGGTGGGACATTCCTCCAGTCGGGAACACGCGCACGGACTGGGCTTTTAATCGGAACCTTTTCTGCACGCGCACCGACTCCAGCGCGCCGCAGCAAGTTGAAGCAGCGACTCTAAAGTTGGTTTTAGATGTTTGGAGGAAGAACCGGCGCTACTTTAGCGGCCGTGGTTCACCTTCTGCTCCCCACGTCCCTCTAAAGGAGTGCGGGAGTTAAACGTATGACTGGGCGGGGTCACTCCACCGACCTGCTGGTTTGAGTGAAACTGCTTCATTAAAACAATTACCCAGTCAGCACATCACGATTCTTGAATTTTGGACCTCAGAAATATGTTTTTTTGCTCCTAGTTTCTTTGAGGCTTCTACGATTAAATGTAATCATAACCTGCATAGAACACCGCGTGTTGGAGGAGGATGGTTATTCTTGCTGTGACATTTAAGTGTCGTTTCTCACCATCTCGAGATAAGTGCTACTAAGATATAATTCCGGCAGTTCATGGTTTCCAATAAGTCTTCAGAATTTATTTTTAAAACGCCTTTTAATAAAACAGGTGTTTCTGAATCGATGCAGCACTGGAATATGTGTCTGCGAGAAATATCTTTAAAGACCTTTGCACTCGTGAAGGATCCTGTAATTAAAGTGTTTCAAATGTAAAACTAAAAAAGTGAAAACCTCAAACGAAAAGAAACACAAAAGAACAGAACCATGTGATTAAAGAATAACCACTTAAAAAATATATGCGTGGCAAAATGATAGTTATATACATAAATACGTAAACACACACAGAGATTTATATATATATATATACTAATTATATATTAATCATAATATTATTTTGATTATTTATTATGGTAACATTAAGTAGAAAAAACACCTCCTGCTCAAAAATCGAAAAGAGTTGAAAGTATCGGAAATGACGGGTCAAAGAAATACTGAATATAAAGCTAACATGCTAATTACACCTTTAATGGATGGGCCTCTGTGTCGTCACGTGCATCCCGGCTGCTTTAAAGTCATGCACTGCTCTTCAGAGGAGCATCACTCACAACCTGACATAATAACTGGTGGCTCAGTAACATCTGTGGGGGTAGATACTTGGTTCTGGTCCAAAGCCCCATCCCGGGGCTGGGAGCCACTCCAAGGCAGTAGGTGAGGAGAGCAAGGTCGTCCACGGACAAGCGGCATGAGCCAGGCGCTGCTACCTGGCCCTTATATATAGCCCGCCGGCCAGAAAATAGAAACTAAAGTGCAGATGAGCACGAGCATGCTGCCTCACTAGTGTCTGACTGAACGACAGGGCTTTCCTAAACGCCTCTGAATGCATGATGCAGGCTTCGGTGTACCGGGGAAACCAGGCCCGACCGGGTGGAGGGGAACGGGGAACTATGTTCTCCATCAAAAAGAGCAGATGGACCTTTTACGTGTAGAATATTTTTTATTTGTATCCAGGGAGGTCACTCATTACAAGGTACTCTAGACTGGACTAAAATAGAGGGCTTCATATCTGGCACACAAAGGACATCCTGTATGACCGGAGCTGTTTTAAAAAATAATGTTTTCAGAATAAGAAGAATCGTGGCCTTTTTTCCTAGACACAAAATAAAACAGAACAATGAGCACCAGAATTACTGCATTGATGCTTTTGAGGACCGGCTGACCCGAGGACAATAATAACAGATTGAGGTCTCAGGGATTATTTTCACCACAGTGGACCCTCTAATCAAAGTCAAATCCATGCGTCTCCCTTCAATTCAAAACCTATCTATGATTGATCCAAAACTATTTCAAATGCATAGTGCCAGTCCACCATTTTAATCCACCTTCATATTTTACTTTAGCCTCACTTGGTCCGTGTTGTGGGTCGAGATTGGTATCAGTGTGTGTGCAGAACATGGGATGGCGGGCCCTGAGTGCATCATAGCTTCATTGCAGAAAAAGGTCAACATTCAGAATGGTTGGAAATCACAGCCGGGGTGGGGGCATCCTTGGAAAAGACAGAGGAGAAATGGAGGAGGGCTGGAGTCCAGGTGCAGGGAACTCGAGCGAACAAGAAACGGTCCTCTGTGCCAATAACAGATAACGGTTTGACTCCTGCTCTGCCCACACCAACAACTGACCGTCCTGTTCATCGTGGACCAACCGGTGAAGATGGTCACCAGACGTCCTCGGCTTCCATTCCCACCTAATCCATAGTGATAAGCCAGCGCCCCAGCGGTAAAGTCTCCCGTGAGGCACGGCGGCCTCCTCCACCTGCAGAGCCGAGACCTCCCTCCGACTCCATGGAGGCAAACGCGTTGATGCCAAACATCACAAGCCTCACGCCCATTCTCTTCAACAAACTCTGGGCTTGGAAATGGCAGATATGGCTCTGGATGGGCAGGAGGAAATGTGGTGTCTTGATGTTTCCAACTAGGGATAAGCCAAAAAGGATATTTGGCTGGATAGGCAATGAGATCGAGATATGGGGGTCTCCATCTGACCGACGGCTTCAAAGAGACGTGGTGTTGGTCCGCCGAGGCCCCAGACGAGGCTTAAGGCATAAACGATTGAGTACCGAGATGACCTATGGTATCAATGCCGTCCAGTAAGCAGCTCTCCCTCAATAGATGCTTGGCCCTCACTGGCACTAAAGAAATTCTGTACTGGAAGGAGAATGGGAAACATGTTGAACCAGAGAAAACACCGGCCTCCACCTCATCTGAGGACAGCAGCGCACGTATTAGGCTCAGCTCTTTCCCTTGCTGTGAAGATACTGATGACAGCCATAATGCATCTGGTTGTCCCATAGGACTCCTCTGGACTGTCCCAATCACAAGACTAATTGTATAATTAGGCCAGCTCCGGGGACGGCCACC